GAGGCCCGCGGGTGGTGGGACCGAAGGTCGCGAGGTCGACGGGGTCCTTGGTCTCGTACGACTTCTGGTCGCGGGGGTAGTCCGGGCGGACGTTCTTCTGGACGGGGATGTCGATGGATTTCCCGAGGAACGGCAGCTCGACCTGGTGCTTGACCTCGGCCTGGGGCAGGAGGGTCACGTAGTACTCGTAGAAGGGCTTGCCTTCGCTCTGGCGCTGGTCGTTACCGAGCGATGCGCCGGGGCAGCTCTGGAGGAAGTTCTCCATGCACCAGCGGTTGAAGCCGGGCACGTCGAGCGTGAACTTATCGACGAGCGCCTTCTTCTTGGTCTGGACGAAGATTCGGAAGTCCACGGTGGATACTTCCTGGTTTCGGGGGTTTTCTGGGCTGTATCCGTTGAGGGTGAATTTGAGGCAGGTGAGGTCTTTGATGGCGTCGCCGATGGAGTGTCGGATCTGCCTCTCTGTCCACTCAGCCTTCTCTTCCAGGTCCAGGCCGACCAGGTAGTAATGGAATTCGGCCTGGTAGCCTCCGAAAGCTGTGAGACCGACCTTGGTCGTCGATGGGGCAGGGTGGCCCTTGACACCCCTCACGCGTACTCGGTCTTTGCCAATGTCCTCCATGACGATTCCTTCCAGATTGGCGGTCACATCAGAGCCGTAGTATAATGGACCTTGAATCTCGTACAGAAGCTGGGAGGCCACTGTTCCAACCGACACCTCTCCACCAGTGTTTGCTTCCTTGGTAATGACGCTTGTCCCGTCGCATTCTACTTCGGCAATGGGGAAACCGATGTTTGCGCAGCTGTCCATCAATCTCTTAAATCCAGAGTAATAACCACCGCAGACATATGAAGAGCATTCGATCAGATGGCCGGTGACCAATGCACCTGCAATCTGGTCGAGGTCCGTCTCACGGTCCCATCCGTGCCACCACATAGCCGCGCCGATTGTGGGAGCAGCGTCAGCCACTCTGCCGGCGATGACGATGTCGCAACCCTGGCGAAGAGCCTCGGCGATGCCAGCACCGCCAAGATAGCATCTACAAGCTCGTTAGCCATCTGCTCATTGTGTTTCAAAAGCCACTTCTGGGGCAACTTACTGAGCGCAGATAATTTCATGCCCCCATTCCTTGAGAGGCTTGCCGTTCATCAAGCTAGGGAACACTTCGCCATTGTCGAAGAGCCTCTTGACGGTATCCGTCACCTCGTCTCCGCTGACCCAGCCAACCTTGAGATCGAGCCCTTGCTTCTTGACCTCTTCCTCAACAAGCTTGGCTAGTAGCTCGGTGTCACTGGCTCCGGCGTTGACTGCCACCTTGATGCTCTTGGACTTGAGATAGGGGAGGGCAGGAGCGAGGTTGTCCATGAAGGTTGGGTCGAAGAGGCCTACGGGCTCTTCTTTCAGCGCTCCCGACTGCTTGAGAGTTTCATTCTCGGCCTTTTGGGCGCCATGCAGGGTCATTGTGCACTCCGAGAGCCAGTCTCCAATGATGCAGTCAATGTCGCAGTTCTTCGCCAAGTCACCAATGGCTCGCTGGCGGTCGGAGAAACCACCAGAAGATCCGGCGATGCGGATTGGGCGTTTTGCTGAAGTCATTGTGAATGTGGGAGGATGTGTGTGGTAATAGGGGAGGGAGTGAGAGTGGTAGAGCGGCTCGAGCAACACCTTGATACTTAGAGGGAACTCCAAATACTCAATTCTTCCAAGCCAGAGGTCTAGTTTATATACACGGCCATCAATTGGGTCTAAAGACTCCGGAAAGCCATCATCCGGAGGCACTGGCTACAAACTCATATCTGACCTCCCAAGCGATGCCGCAGGACACACTGGCAACCCCAGTTCTCCACCCGTCCCCAAGGCAGTGCGGGGAGAATCATGAAGCGCGAGATCATTCCCATGCGAAATGTGGTGGGACACGATTCCGGCATCTCGGGAGAGGAAAGCCCAGAAGCTTCAGGTTTCCTGTGTTAGGGGCGGATAATCATAGCCAAAGGACTCATGACCGGTTGCTAGTCAGAAACGGAGGGCGTCCGGGAGTTCATTTTCCTGGTGGGGGCGTGAGGCTCACTCTAACGGCCTTTGCCTTGGGGTAATCGGTCGGAGATGACAAATTGGTTCGCCTCTTTTCGATATTCAGGATGTGTCAAACTGAACATTGCCATTCTCTAATATCGTTGCAAACCTTTTAGTAGGTCATAGTAGTACATTTGATCCCGGAAGTCGTGGTTGGCAGGCTCTGTCCCCCGCCACTCATTTGCAAACTGATATGTTTATCATTTTGTATCCCAGGCCCAGGAATGAGCGATGAGTTCGTTTATGGACATTGATCCCAAATTCATTTTTCATTCTCTTCGTCAGCCCGAAAAGTACACGAATTCCAATCTTGCCTGCTTGATCGCCAAATATAGGTCTTACTCTGTCTTGGGTACGACAACCGCCGCAATAATGTACAATTCCCAATGATTTAGTCTTAACACTGTATCACCAGACGCCCCTGATCTACAACTTATTGAGAATGATTCTATCGAAATGTAAACGGTTACTTGACTGGGTAATATTTGAGAGAGTGCCTGGTTTCGAACTTCGTGGTTAACCTCTAGGGTAGGTGAAGATAGAGCGCCTTGATGCCTAGAGATGATGACGTCAGCACCCGAGCTACCAGACGGCCGCTTTCGCCTCCATTGACGGAGTCCGTTGACACGATTTAATCAACAGAAGCTGTCCGTCCAATTGCTGCTTGGCTTAAACCTGCCACAATATGTCTACGAACAACAGTCAAGCATCGCAGGCTCTTGGGGTGAGAGCCCTCGGTTCGCCGGCCTATTGGACTCAGTTTCGCCCTGTCAACTACCTCCATAGAGCTGGTGTGGCGGCCTCATATCCAATTCGAGGAATCTGGTACTTTTCGCGCAGTAGAGAGTTCTGGCCGCTTTTCTTCGGACGACTGTTGCCACTCTCTGTGATCTCTTTTCTTGTATACTTTATTCTCTTCGCGTTTGCGTTTCTGCCACAGTTCGCGTTTCTGGCCATTTTCCACGGATGGGGTGCCTGGGTCAGCGCAGTGGTGCTGGTTTTGGGAGAAGGACTGGTCATTATCCAAGGTCTTTTTGAAGGATTTTTCGTGGACGAGTGCCGTGTGGATGTATTTGATGTAAGCCTGATTCTCCTGACCGTTTCTCGTGAGAGAACCCAAGCTCACTGCTTCTATAGGCTACCCTCATTAAACTTGGTTGGATAAATTTACTTCGTCCACATCGCTTACTATTCGATGACGCTCCAACAGCCGTCAAAATGCTGGGAAAGCCCACAAGTTCTGCAATTTACACGCCATGGAGTGTGATTCAGATCGTTGAGCTGATCGTCTTCCTCCCCCTCAACCTGATCCCGTGGGTCGGCACTCCCGCCTTCATTATTATTACTGGGACAAGGCTCGGAAAGCTGTCGCATTATCGCTGGTTCCAGCTCAAAGGGTTTTCAAAGCAAGAGGCAAAAAGGGAAGCTAGGACCGTGCTGTGGGAGGACGTTTGGTTTGGAACAGTGGCTATGATCTTGGAGCTGATCCCCATCCTCTCCTTCTTCTTTCTTCTCACTACGACGACAGGCGCAGCCATTTGGACAGCAGAGATGGAACAGAAAAGAGAAGCCGCGAGCGCTGGCCCTACACAACCGGAAGCTATAGGCGAGGATCAGCCACCCGCGTATTCTGACATCGTATGAGAACAATTGGGTGCTACAGAGGAGGCACCCTGTGCCTTGCATAGGTACTTTCCCTGCTTAAGTAGCACGCGGCCTAGAGTCTCTTGAATGTAAATACATGATGGATTTGAGAACCGGGCAACATAGCATGCCGCTCTCTTTGTTTGAGTTCCCAACTGCTGCATTTCGTGCCATTCTACCACCAGCTCTCTACCACCAGCCGCACCTCGTCTCCCTGCCCATCTACCTACCTCCTTACCCGAAACGTACACCCTGATGGTTTTTCTCACAGAGCATAGGTACGCCACGGAAGGTGCGAGCCTGGGTATTTGGGTACCTCATTGTCCACTAAGGGGGACCGAGGAGCACCTCTCTGCGAAGGTTGCTCCTGCCTCGTCCTCGAGCCGGACCGAATTCAAGCCACGAAGACCCGCTTGAGTTTCTCCGCGGACGAAAATCAGACCATTCTTGAGTGCTGGCTGCGTCCGAATCCAGAAAGGCTTGCGATCTCGGTAGGCGAGGAAGGTACGCACCGGTTCTCTATGTGCAGTGGAGTCGTCTGCCAAGGGCTCTGGATTCAGCAGCGACGGGAGTCTAAGCAGCTCAGGTTCAGGTACGAGTTTTGTTCAAAGACGAGTTTACCAATGCGGAGAGTCAGTGCAGTATTGGTGACGGGGAATTATTACTACGGGTAGTTTGTTATGGCTACCAGGGATTTGGTAACTCAACAGTTAGCCGCATCGTGATATCACATCACCTTCTCTCACAGAAAACAGATAGGCGTGGGAGGATGCTGATCTCCATTTTCTATCACACTCGCAGACCTAATCTTCAGCTCGCTTCTACTTTCCCACGCAAGGAAATTGAGTGATCTGCTGCTCCTGCAAACCTTTTGGCCGCCCAAGACACACAGAGATGCACCGGGGGCGCACCTTCCCAGTCACGATAGATGCCTGAGGATGGCCTCGCGTGGCGGATCTCGGCCTCCAATCAATCGAGAGGTCCGCCTCACTTTTGCGCTTTGTGAAAGATGGGAAGGAACGACGAGCTCGTGGGCGGAGCAAAGTGGTGGCAGCCACTGGGAATAAAACACTGGCCTGGGTTGCCGACCAGATTCCTCTTCTTCTTCCACCCTCATCCTCCACAATCTTTTCGCATTTCTCGCACTTGATCCTGTCTCTCACGCCTTTTTACCCTAATTTTTCCCTTAATTTCATCAGACATCTACATACACTCGTTCAGTCACTGCATAACACCGACTTTGGAGTCTATGGTCACTCTCTTCCATAGTACTCAGCACAACATGCGCTCCAAATCCTCGATCGGGGCCTTTGTTGCCGCCAGTTTCTTGGGTCAATCCTTTGCCCAAGCTCCCGAATATGGGTAAGGAAAAGCTGCTCTACTCTCTCTGGTATTCGTTGATGCTAATAATCTCTTAGAGACAGTGGTGGCAGTCCCGCCCAGGGCTCAGAGCTTAATACATACGGTGGCTCATCAGCTACTTCAACTTGTGGTGCTGAGAAGACTACCACTGTTTTCGTCACAGTTCCCACTGGTTCTGGAAATCCTTCAGAGAGCCAGAGCGGTGATCAAAACCCTGGTCATTCGGAGCACACTGTGACGCGAATTCTTCAATCCACTGCAACTGTATTCGTATCTGATGGAATCCCTCATTCGAGTTCTGGCCCCTTTCTTTCTGCCGGCCCCCCTTCTCAATCTACACTCTCATCTGTACCCAGCATAAGTGGCTCTGGTATCAAACCCTTCACTACTATTACCATTGACATTTGGGGTACCGCGTCTGATCCTGCGCATGGCTCTAATACGCCTGGCACCGGGTCTGCCACTGATTATCAACCCACTGCTTCCACGCAAGGGGACTCCGGATCTGCCACTGATTACCAATCCACTGCTTCCACGCAAGGGGACTCCGCTACTTCTACTTCTCCTGAGTCGACATCACAAACTGACTCTGACACCAACCCCTGGTCCACGGTAACTGTTGTTGGTAGCGGAGCTACTCACCGGACTTCATCTTCTACACAAGCGAGTGAAGGTGTTTCGACTTTCTCAGACACAGACGCAGCACAGACTTCTGCACCCACCGCCTATGACAGTTCTTATTCTGGAACTGAGAATCCTGCGCCCACTGTGGTCACTGATACAGATGTGTATTGGACAATTGGCGCAGATGGACCGACCCAGGTTACCGTGCTCTCCTCATACACTCTCGCTACGGATGAACCTTCCATCTCAGTACCAGAGGCCTCCACAACTGGTGATGCTTCACCAGGAGAAAGGATTACTGTCACTGGCGCTGACGGAAAGCCTACTGTGATCATCAATGCGAGCAGCATTTCCGAAGGTGATGGCCCTGAACCAACAGCCACCGAGAGCTCCCTTCCGCTACCGGATAACACTCTCCCTGGAGGAAAGACCACTGTAACTGGCGCTGATGGAAAGCCTACTGTGATCATCAATGCCAGCGCCATTTCTGAAGGCAATGGCCCAGAGCCAACGGCCGCCGAAAGCTCTCTTCCGCTGCCAGGTAACACTGTCCCTGGAGGAAAGATCACCGTCACCGGTTCCGATGGAAAGCCTACAGTGATCATCAACGGAGGCGGCACCTCTGGAGCTGGCCCAACACCAACAGTCACTCAGCCCTCTGACAACAACCTCCCAGGAGGAAGAGTCACTGTAACTGGTGCTGACGGAAAGCCTACTGTCATCATCAATGGAGCCGATTCTGGAGCTGGTCCAACACCAACAGCCACTCAACCCTCTGACAACAACCTCCCAAGGGGAAGGATCACTGTAACTGGTGCTGATGGAGAGCCTACCGTGATCATCAATGGAGGTGGCATCTCTGGTGGTGCTGAACCAGAACCTACACCCGCCCAAACTTTAACGGTACCTGGAAACGCTCTACCAGGAGGAAGTGTCACTATCACCGGCACCGATGGTAACCCCACGGTCATCATCAATGGAGGTGGCATCTCTGGTGATGGCGCTGCAACCCAAACAGCCCCGCAGAGCTCGATTCTGACCCCAGGCAACAATCTTCCAGGCGGAAGAGTAACCATTACGGGAACCGATGGGAAGCCTACCGTGGTTATCGATGCAGGCCACATCTCTGGAGGAGATGGAACTCTGCCAACATCCTCACAGAGCGCTCCTACAATTCCCTCATCTCAAGTTTATGGCTCTGGTGACTCTGGATACTCTTACCCATTCCCAGGAGGTCCCTCTTCGGCTGTGATCACCGGAAGCATTCCCAAAACCACATTCACTGTCATCGGAACAGATGGTCTGCCTACCGTTGTTGAATCAACTCTGGCAACCCCAGGCAATGCCCCGTCAACTGGTATCTTGCCCTTCCCTACCAATCCTCCTTTCCCTGGTTCAGCCTCTGGAATTAGTGCTGGGATTCCCACCTATTTCCCTTCCTCAGCTATTGGCAATGGAGACATCCCTCAGACTACATTCACTGTCATTGGCACGGATGGCCTTCCTACCATCGTCACATCACCTTTTGATGTTCCAGGAACAGGTTCTTTGCCTTACCCAACCAACGCCCCCATTCCCGGGTGGCCAGCATCTGGATTTCCTGGGCCTTCTGCAAATTTGCCTCCCGCTGCTCCTCAAAGTGGAATCACAACGCAGTTCACCTTTTCCTACATTGGCGTAAATGGGCTTCCGACACAGGTCGAGTCTACCGTTGTTCTCTCTCCAACGGACCAAGCTTCCAATGGTGCAATTCCAACCATCCCGGTTCCGCAACCAGGATCGTCAGATGGCTTCCCTAGCAGCGGAGGCGTGACAACTTGTTATAGTTACACCGTACTCGGGCCCAATGGACTGCCTACTGTTGTTGAATCGACGGTAGTAATCCCTACTGCAGCCCCGGTGACGACTCCGCCACTTGGATTACCGACTCAATTGCCATCTGGCCAAGGGGCCCCTCAGGGCTTCCCTACCGTTGGTGAGCTCACCTCTACTTTCAGTTACACGTTCACAGGAATTGATGGACGTCCCACTGTCCTGGAAACCACCATCGTTGCAACACCAACCAATCCAGTGCCGGGATTCCCTGGAGGTGTGCCAGGGCCCGTGATCACCCAAGGGGCATTTGACAGTGGTCTTCCAGGATTTCCTTCAACCACCTGTTCCACATTCACTTTTATCGGACCTGACGGAATTCCAACAGTAACAGAATCGACATGGACGATTGCTGCTCCAATCCAAACCACTTCTGCTGTAGGTGGCGCTCCTGGAGCCCCAGGCCCTCTTTCAACTTTTGGCTGGCCTTGGCCAGCAACTGGAGCTTTGCCATCTGCACTTCCTTCTGGCTTCCCTTCAGGCTTCCCCTCCGGCTTCCCCTCCGGCTTTCCCTCAGGATACCCTTCAGGTTATCCCTCAGGTTATCCCTCAGGTTACCCTTCGGGTTTTCCCACTGGTTTGCCATCAGGTTTTCCCACTGATTTGCCATCAGGTTTCCCCTCGGGTTACCCTTCAGGTTTCCCCTCTGGCTTGCCATCTGGCTATCCTTCCGGATTCCCTTCTATTCCCAACGGTCAGGGAGCTCCTAGCGCCACTTGCACTAGTTACACCATCTTGGGACCTGATGGACTTCCTATGGTTGTCGAAACTACCTGGACGCCACCTGCTGGCTTTCCTCAAGCAACAGGCAATTCTCCCAATCCTTTCCCATGGAATGTGCCTGTTATCACGCCTGGCGCTCTTGGAAACCCTCAACAAACTGGCCCTCTTGGTGTGCAGCCCACTCTTGCCAGCACAACGTACACTCAGCTTGGTGCTGATGGACGACCCACGGTCGTTGAGACAACTTGGACGGAGCTTGGGCCTCTTGGCGTGCAGCCCACTCTTGATAGCACAACATATACTCAACTTGGTGCCGATGGACGGCCTACGGTTGTTGAGACAACTTGGACGGAGCTTGGCCCTCTTGGCGTGCAGCCCACTCTTGCTAGCACAACATACACTCAGTTGGGTGCCGATGGACGGCCCACTGTCGTTGAGACAACCTGGACAGAGCTTGGCCCTATCGCCACTGGTATTCCCCAAGGACCGGGCGGCTCTGGAGCCCCCTTCCCATGGAATTTACCTGGTATCACTCCTGGCGCTCCTGGATCCCCCCAACAAACTGGACCGTTTGGCGCAGGGGCTTCTACCACTTGCACGACATTTACCCAGCTAGGTGCTGATGGCTTGCCAACTGTTGTCGATGTGACCTGGACTGTTCCAGCCCCTGCACAAACTACTCTCGGAGCACCTTCTGTTGTCTCGTCAGTTGCTGGCCTTCCCCAGGGCACATCTCCGGCTGGGCCTGAGATCTCAGCAGTCACAACTTCATTCACTATTGTGAACATTGGTCCGAATGGTCTACCGACTCCCGTTGTTCAGACCGTTGTACTCACACCCGCTCCTATTCCCACGGCTACTGGTGCTGGCCTTCCCCAGGGCACATCTCCACCCGTCCCTGAGATCTCAGCAGTCACAACTTCATTCACCATTGTAAACATTGGTCCGAATGGTCTACCGACTCCCGTTGTTCAAACTGTTGTACTCACACCCGCTCCTGTTCCCACGGCTACTGGTGCTGGAATTCCCTTTCCTCTGCCCTCGGGTCCAGTCATTGACACAGCGCAAATCCAAACGCCTAGTTTAAGCGCTTATGGGCCAGAGCTTTCGGGATTTCCCACTATTGGTGTACCCTTCCCGCCAAATTTACCCTCTATCTTCAGCAACGGCCTTCCCCCTCTCATCACGGGCCCTTTGAGTAGCATTTTGACTGGCCCAGGTGCAGGAACTCCCACACCTGTTTCCAATCCTTTCGATCAGTCATCAAATCTTGGAATTCCAGGATTCCCACTTACTCCTGGAGCCACCCCTCCATCATATGGAAGTGATCTGAATGATGGTGCTGTTCGTCCCGGCGCATCAGGTCCTTTGCCCACGGATGCAACTTTTTGGCCCTCTGCAGTTGCCTACAACACCCCATCTGCGGCCTCGCAAGCTCTCAGTCTGCCATGCACAACCTTGAAAACCAGTACTTGGGTCAATATCATCCCGGAGCAGACGACAACTTATACGCTCAACTATCCATTCACAACATTGGCCGCTGTGACTTCTCCAGTTAAACTTAGGGGTTTCAGAAACATTATTCGAAGACAATTGAGGTAAGTTGATTTTCTGCTGTAGACTGTAGATCTCAAGCTCATCACCGAATAGCTCCGCAGGAATTGATTCTCAATGGTCTAATTCAACCACACCAATCTCAACGCCGTCTGCGACATCTCCAGTGTTACAGAGCCCAACACTATGCTCCTCCGGGGGGAATATTGGCAACTATACTCTTGATGTAAGTTTGTTTCGTAGCTGAGGAGAAAGCGATTCATGAACTAACTTCTCCTAGTTTGATGACATCGAAGCTGGTCCATTGTACAATCCTGCGGGCGACTTCTGGTTCTCCCAGGGATTTTCCGTCGTCCCCCCTTCTTCCCAGACGGGCGCCTACTCTCCTTCTTCCGGCGGCCAGCTCATCGAATTCGTCCCTCCTTCGTCATTAGGATCAATTGGCAGTGGATCTAGCGACACAGCAGAGATTGGTGTTGGCCCCAACTTTGCAATTCCTTGTTATAAATTTAACATTTACGGTCTGAATCTAGGATGCGCAGCTCAAAGTAATGAGCAGTGGTGCGAATTTGAGATCGCCGCATACGCATATGATGAAAATTCCAGAAGCGAACAATCCTTGTCATGGTCGGAGACTAAACGCGTTCCAGCTTGCCCCAACTATCCAACTGGTGTGTGCAGTTTGACATCTGTTGATTTAGATGGGTATTCGAACGTCACATCTGTTTTGATCAGTCTTCGAGTTGGGTTGGAGTCACGCACCTGGTGGGCTGACGATCTTCGTGTTGGCTGGACAGACAATAGCTGCGAAGCTGCCAGCTGTCGCGCTGATTCTTCATTTGTTGCCCAAAAGAGATCTACTCAGAACTCTCTTCGTCACAGACTCTGGGAACTTGCTTCTACAAAGCACAGGCGTTCTCTGGGCGGATTTGGTGGGAATGCTACGCATTGATGGCATCGGAACTGAAAAGACGAATGGGCTTTATGGGTTATATGAGCTGATGTGCTCATCTACAATTGTCGTGGGGGTTGAATTTGTTTTCGATTGACAAATATTTGATCTGATTTCTTGGGAGCCGAGGTAATAGTTGATGAACGGGAACTGGGCGTAATACTAGATGAGTTATGAACTATGTCTGTCACATAGCCCGAGAGGCTGCATAGTTAGTTGCGAATAAACGCCATGGGTTGAACGCGCTTTCTTTCTGACTGATGATATTGGTGATTTAGATGATGGCAACCAAGCTCATCGTAGCTATTTGCAATTCGAACTCTGAGGTTTGTAGTTGGGGAAGAGGTTCACCTAACCACGTCTTCAGATGAGCTGCACGCTCAGCTCGATCAGATATGGACCAACACAAAGCAAGGCCCGAGATCGCATCGCTACATTGATCATGTGTCAATCGCTTCACCAATAGCTAGAAGACCTACCTAAAAGGCTGTTTACGCCGTCACTTGCCTCCGGGAATAACAATCCGATGAGAGGAACGGATCTCCACATTGACGGCAAAAATCACCCCCGAACTCCACATTGATGATAAATAAGTCCCAAAACCGACTTGCTTGGGGTGTCAGCCGATATCGGGTCCGGCGGTTCGGTCCAATGTGCCAGCCAGTTAATGAAGGTCTATTATTCCCGACAGGGTCACCAGGATGTGATCTTTGGGCCCGCTTTGGCTCGGTTGTGTTTGTTGGAGGCGCCGAGACGGGGGATCTCCTCCTTACCCTCCTGGTATGATTTGAAATCCCGAAAAGCAGGCTATCTCAAGATTCAACAGTTGCCCTGGGGTATCAGACGATGACTGGGGAGAGGGTGAACAAGGCATATTCAACAACATTGATGAGTTAGTTGGCACAGTTGATAGGTTTGAATCATTGGCCGCCCTGGCGTTTTCAAGGATACAATTTAGAGAAAATGGACTCGGAACATTCAGAGAAACACGGCAAACCCGATGTCCTTGACCAAGGCATTCAGGTTGATGATGAGAAACGGGCCCAGCCAACCAACGGCAGCAGTTGCAGCAGCAGCACAGGTTCCGAGGACGCCAAAAATAAGACCGAGGCGGGTGGTATCGATGAATTGGAAAACATTGCTGAGGTCTGTGAGGGTGATCCCGAGGAACATGATAGCCCGGGAGTTGTCAGCCTTGTTCTCAGCCGCATAACATCGAGATCTACGACTGTAGATCCAGGACCACCGCCAGATGGTGGATGGACGGCATGGTCTCAGTGTACGTGATTGCAAGCCTTTCTCGTTGTTGCTGTGTCGTTTTGTTCGCTAACGCTCCTCGGAGCATAGGCGTAGCTGTACACTTCATCATATCCAACAGCTGGGGGTTCATTAACTCGTTTGGCACATGGCAGTCTTACTATGTCAATCTCCTCCCCGAGAGGACCGCGTTTGAAATATCCATGATTGGGTCTTTGACGGTGTTCCTACTCTTCTTCATCGGCACATTCACCGGGCGCCTCACGGACGCCGGCTACTTCCGCCAGTGCTATGTGATAGGGAGTATCTTTCAGATTGGGGGTATTGTGTGTACCTCGTTCTGCACCAAGTACTGGCAGTTCATCCTCGCCCAGGGCCTCTGTATTGGGATCGGGAACGGCTTCCTTTTCTGCCCTTCACTCGCGCTGGTGTCGACGTATTTCCTCAAGAGGCGGGCCATTGCCATTGGGATCACAGCCGCCGGCGGAGTAACTGGCGGAGTCATCTTCCCGGTCATGGCAAGACAGCTACTGCCCAAGATTGGGTTCCCCTGGACCATTCGGGCTATTGCGCTGGTTCAGTTGGTGTGCCTCGCCATCTCGAACATCCTCGCCAAACCGAGGATCAAGCCCAGGAGACAGGGGCCAATCATCGAGATACAGGCCTTCAAGGAGCTCGAGTATACATCGTATGCCGTAGCCGCCTTCCTGGTAAGCAACTTTCTCCCTTCATGCCCCCTGACTGGCTCCTAGAAGACGAGAGCTGTTGTAATCGAAGAAGTCTAGATAAACTAATCACCCGTGGTGGGAATAGTTCTTCTGGGGGGTATACTTCGCCTTCTACTACCTCGCCGCCTTCTCCCGCGACGGCCTCCCGGACCCGGTATCCTTCACCGAGAGCCTCAACCTGCTCCTCGTCCTCAACGGCGTGGGCATGGTCGGCCGCCTCGCGCCAAACTACTTCGCCGACCGCATCGGCGCCGTCAACATCTTCATCCCCGTGTGCGCCACCGCCTCCCTCCTCGTCTTCTGCTGGATGGCCGTGGACACCGTGCCAGGGCTCTACGCCTGGAGCGTCTTCTACGGCATCTTCTCCGCGGGCGTGCAGAGCCTCTTCCCCGCCGCGCTGAGCTTCCTGACCAGCGACCTGCGCAAGCTCGGGGTCCGCATGGGCATGGTTTTCACTATAGTCTCCTTCGCCGTGCTCACGGGCCCGCCCATCGCGGGGGCCATCATCGACCGCACGGGCGGGTACAGGGCCGCGCAGGCCTTCTCGGGCTCGTCGCTCGCGCTGGGGTCTGTTTTCCTGTTCGTGTCCAAGGTGGTCCGGATGCGCAAACTGGGTCAGGGGTGGACGGGCAAGGTGTGAGCGGGACGGTCCTCCCTCCTTACTTGGTTTTTTTTCCCCTTGGTCGTAGGCGAATCAGTACATTGTTTTCTCTCCCTCTTTTCTCTTTATTCGCAATGTCGTCTTGGATCAACTACAGGAGAGTTACTCCAAAGAGGCGCCATGATGGTCAAGTGAAGGAGTGGCAGTCCAGCAAACCGTCAGATCAAGATGGTAGAGTGTGTGGGCGATGCAGATGTTGGAGGAGTAGAGCATTAACTATATATTTCCAAAATGATGAGCATTTCGCATTTGAGACGGGCAGAAAAATGACTCATTGGCATTGAATGCATGTGGATTGATGATGGATTTTAATACAATTTGCCAATGCCCCTAAGTGGAGGCTCGCATGTTCGATGGATCTCTCCGTTCTCTGTAGATGTCGTGATCTCACTGGATAGAGAGCACGTCATCGGGTTCGCTTGCCTCAGATACTGGCGATACGAATGTCATTCTCAACCGAGGCCAGGGTACCTTGGCTATGCTTAGCAGAAACATAGACATTACTTATTCAGTTGTTACTCACTGTCTTAAAGGTTGTGATCTGATGCTCAGCTGATTCATACCTTGGAAGGGTGAAAAAAGACCGCTCTCAATCATCATAAACATCCGCTCACGAAGCAACACTGGTGACACGGCGGAAAAGCAAAGACGAATAACAAAATTCAAATCATTTAATGGGACTTGGGGAATCTAAATGCCGTAACCCGAGCTCGTTTCATGGACATAACCGTGAGCTTACATACAAAATAATCGTCGACTTTTTCTTCTTTAGGCCTTTCTTCCACTGCCAAATAACAACCGTATGCAGAAAATTAGAGACCTATGATTTGTATCCCCAAACAACCTAAAACCAAGCACTCCGACGCACTATAAACCAGCCGACCTCCTGAACCAATCAATTGGGGCCTCCGACAATCTTCCTGGAACCGCACGATCCTGGGAGACTCTCAGCTCCAGTTCGATACATAATCAAGCAACGCTTCGCTTCTTGGCATGCATGGACTCCGCACGATGCGTGTCATAAGTTACATTACAACCTGATCAGAAAAGTTAGTCTTGACTCGGAAATAAGTAAGTGGGAGAGACTTACGCAATCTCCTTCCTGCTTTCCTTGGGGAATACCCATATCCTCGAATGTTGCAGGTCCTTTGCTTGGGGCAGTGGCAGCCTTGGCTGGCTTGGGAGGAGCGCTTTGTGCAGATGGCGCAGGGCTTGGCTTGCTTTCGGGCCTCTGCATCTGCATCTGTCCTGGCGGTGCCGTACCTGATCTTCCAGGCATAGGACCACCAGCCCCAGGATGACCCATGGGAGGGCGGCCAGGATCGTTCGGGGGTCTCTGGTACCGCGGGTCTTGTTGTTGTGGTTGAGGGTATCCGGCGCCGGGGTGGCCGCCTTGCTGGCGAGAGTAGCGTGGATCTCCCTGAGGAGGTGCTGCGGAGGGAGGGCGGTTATCGTAAGGAGGATTTCCCATTGGGGGGCCTTGCTTTGGCACTCTGCCTTGGTTCTGGTTGGGGTAGGGAGCAGCACTGTTGGGGCGCATCTGAGGGTTGGGGCCGGTAGGACTGTGTGGTCCTCCTGGACCTGGACTGTTCTGTCTGAATGCTCCAGGACCGGCGGAAACCACCCGGCCTCGAGGGTCAGGATACGAACCAGGCGCAGGGTGAAGGTTGTTCATGGACTGGCTGCCATGCACCATTGGCCGTTGACCAGGACCACCTGGGCCACCTGGGCCACCGGGAGGGCCATAGGGAGGACCCTGAGGATGACCTTGGGGAGGGCCTTGAGGCTTGATGCCAAATGCTGGACCTGGACCCGGACCTGGGCGACCGCCATTGTAGCCCTGCGGAGGGCCTCGAAGATCGTCCTCGGGGTATGGCGCTGGGCCCTTGGGTGGGCCTCCGTGAATAGGAAGATTCCTCTCGTCCTCGGGGTAGGGGGCAGTCGACTGCCGGGCGGGACCAGAGCCATTGTCAGCACGAATCCCAAAGGCGGGTCTGTCGCCACCGGGGATACCGCTCGTATCGATGATCGACGCCCTCGAGGGGTCGGGGAAGTTGACGTGCTCGACAACTGTCGGTCGTGCTCCTGGAGAAGCATGTGATGCGGGCAGTGGCAGGCCAGGCACGGCATCGTTGACTGGAGTTTGGGGTGCACTCTCGCTTACAGTCGGCATTTGTTGAGGTTGCTTGAAACGATCGGGTCGCTTGCCTCGTTGTGATCCATGCTGGGACTTGATCCTGGTAAGTGTTGTGGTTTCGTGGTCTTGCTTCGATAGAGTCTTGTCCTGGTTGAGAGACTCCAGGCGTCCGAGAGCGTCCTTGTTTCCATGGTCAGCTGCAAGCTGGTACCAAACT